TCATCGAAGAAGGAGATGGGTCACGGGTGCAGTGACACGCATACCTACGTGCCGCCGCGAGACCCGATTTGAACGTATCAACGAAAACTCGAATTAAAATCGATCCATATCTATCCTCTCTCTCTCTCATCACGGGGACGATTTGTTTCTAACCATTCTGCTTCTCTCTCTCTCTCTCTCTCTCTCTCTCTCTCTGTCTTTCTCTCTCTCTTCGTTCGCTTTCCGCGCGAAACAAGAACAAACTCGCGCTTTCTCTCTAATTAAATTGAAAATTACGCGATATTTCGCCACGGGGGGGGGACGAAAGAAAGAAGGGGAGGAGAAATCTCGATATTAATTTTCAGCGACGATCAAACGGAGGGAAGGAGAGGGAGGGGGGAGAGAAGGAGAGAAATAAAAATAACGAGCTCGAGACCCACTTTTCGAATTCCAATTAGTTTCCACGGTATTTAATAAGTGTTAGAAAAACAGATTCGTGTAGGAATAGGATGGAAGGAGTGAAAAGTTTGAATCGTTTATCGTGTTTTCTCCACGTTATTGTGGAAACGAATCGAATCTACGAAGGATCGAGAATGTTCTTGAGGATTGGAAGGAGAAAGGGAAAGAGAGAAAGAGATAGATACGAAGAGAGAGAGAGAGAGAGAAAGAAATCGCGTAATCAATCGCGTGATCGTGTCTAATATATTTTTTTTTTTTATTCCCTCTGCGCCCCATCGATCTCTATTGCTCTATCCTTCATCTCGATGATACGCGATGATATCTCTCGTACCCTTGTGTCGTAGATACGCATCGTGCGCGCGCGTGCATACGTCGTCTTTCGAGGTCGATTCATTTTCCTCGCATGTATTACAGAGTGGAAGGTTTAAAGTTTCGCGGAACTGGATCCAATATCAATTTGCTCTCGAGTTGGAGGAAGGAGGGAGGGGGGGATCGAGGAAAGCGTACGTACTACGAAACAACCGTTCCACCTAGCCGATTTAGTGGAGGGTGCTTCGACAAAACTGAAGTTCGAAGCCGCCGAGGATATAAAATCGCGAGTGTACGAGAGTAAACGTGGCAACTATGTCGCATCGACGAAACATTCGTGGCGCGCAGAGTCGTTTCGCGAATTTATTATACGGTTAATAATAATATGCGAATAAACGAAGTGGAAATTGCGAATTGTTTAAAATCATAGTTATCATTATCGAAATGATAGTATTAATTTAAATTCAAATTTATATTTCGTGTATTTGACGTAAATTAAAAATTGCCAGTAATTTATTAAGAGACTTTATAATTAACCTCTATCTAGGATCTTGGTGTGCTTATCGAGGCAATAATATTTTTACGTTCTCCATTGATGTTCTCTGTGAAACGGATTATACGTATCTCTCTCTTATTCTACGGATCTCAATATCGTGGAAGCTGCTTAACTTAATTAGCAAAACTATCGACTCGATCTTCCCTTTTAACATCTTTGTGTAACTCTATATCCTTTCTTCTCGATAATCGTCCTTGTAACACGTAAACACGCGTAACGAGAAAGCTTTGCTTCAATTCAATTAGGAAAATTTAATCATAAGAAATACATATATATATCTAATATAGCTAATTGAAATTGCGAAATCAATTGCATGCAGGATAACGTGGAAAAAAAAAAAAACAGGAACATTTACACGACATTTTCTAATAAAATGCATTAAAGTAAACGTTATTCGTGGAACTCGATAAAACGGCTAGCAAAGCAGAGATTGTTTCCATAAGGGGGTATAGAACGTAAGAGGAGAGAGTACGACAAGAATATGAATAGTCGGTATAATTTGAAGTAGCCCCCGAACCCTTGCCACGACGTCCTTGGCACCCTCCAGAGAAACGTTCCTCTCTTCTGTGTAACACGTACACGGATAGGGGCTGGGGCGGAGAGAGTTTTAGCTGGAACGCAACCGAGCGGCAGTTGTGCAACGCCACACTTACCTAATATGCGCAATTCACGAGGTAAGGCCGGAATAAAACCGGGACAAAGCTCGCCTTTAAGCATTCTTTTCTGATTCCGAATGCCTTCCCTAAGTAGAATATTCCAAGGGGTAACCTTGCCTCACCCGGTTACGGGTCTCGAGTAAAATGATATATTTCTTTATCTTCGCGTTTCCTTTATCGCCCACTATCTCTTCCACCTCCTTTGCGCCCTTCTTTTCACGCCGTTCACGCCAATAAAACCCAATGGAGGAGAATTTTTTCCCCTCGGATACGACTCGGTTAAATTTTCCAACTTAACCCGACTTAACACTCTGCCTGTTGGCTGGAACAGGTTAAGCGAGTAGATATCGCGTTACTTTTACTATGCGCTCCTCGTTTCCTTCTTCCTCGTTCTCATTCGGCTAATAGAACGCTACGGAGGGGAAAGAAGAGAAAAAGAATCTTCTCTGGATACGACAAATTTTCCAACTTAACCTAACTTAAATTTCCTTCGGTGGGAATAGGTTGAGTGATTCGAGTAGTTTATCGCGTCCCACGCCTTTTATTTTGCATTCCTTGCGTCGCTCTCTTCTCGGCTAATAAAAGGCAATGGTGGAGAAGGAAAAAGAGAATCGACAAATTTTCCTTGCTTGACTAGGTTAAGTGGATTTCGAGTAGATATCGCGTTCCGTGTCTTTTATTCTTGGTATCTCTTTGTTCTCGCTATTTGGCCGATAAAAAGCTACGGAGAGAGAGAGAAAGAGAGAGAGGGAGGGGGAAAGAGAGAGAGAGAGAGAGAGAGAGAGAGAGAGAGAGAGAGAGAGAGAAAACAGAATTTTCTTTAAATACAACAAACCTAACCTAATCCAACTGCTTCACTCAGTTAAATACTTCGAGGTTCGAGTAGATATATTTCTTTATTTTTTTTCTCTCTCTCTCTCTCTCTCTCGTTTCCTTTATGCTCTATCTCTGTCTATTTCCTTTGCATCTCTCCATTCGATTAATAAAAAAAAGTTACAGAGAAGAAACGGAAAAAAGAATTTTCTTTTAAATACAACGAACTTAACCTAATCCAATTGCTTCATTCGGTTAAATACTCGACTCGATCTCTATCTTATTTTGCATCTCTCTATTCTCACTATTCATTATTAATAATAGGTTATGGAGAACAGACAAAAAAAAATTTCCTTCTTTTCGATAGAAAAGACTTTTTAACTTTTTCTATCAACTTTCGTCTTCGTATCGAAAAAATTACTACTAGAGATTTTATTAATAAGAGATAATATTAGACAATAAGATCTAAATATTTTACACGCAAACAATTGTGATCGAAGTGATTCAACGAAAGTTTTAGTTTTAGTTTTAAAGACAATTTCAACCAATTTGACAATTCTAATGATAGATCGTTCTTTGCTATTTTCTTTATCGTATCCTGCCTCGTCTATTACATTATTCTTTGCATCCTTCTTCCTATTTGGTATAACAGGCTACGGAGAAACAAAAAAAAAAAAATTTTGCTTCGGATACAGGGCAAGCATTAACCTCACGACCGACCATGCTCTCCCTACAAAGGATATTGATTTTCCAACGTTTAAGTTCTTCCCTGTCCCGTGTGTCGCTTCTCATGATAATTCACGGATTGATAGATACGCGTTTGGACCGTTCATCGATCACGTGTTTTTCAATGGAAAAATTTCACGGATCCCTCTTACTGTATCAAACGTTTTAATATATCGTTATAAAAATTGTAAGACATTTGAATTATGATTTTCTTTTCTTTTTTTTTTTTTTTTTAGAATATAAATATAAACTTAATTTCTAGGTAACGTACATTTTCGATAACTAAATATAATTAATAATATATAAATCAAAAATGATATAAATAAAAAAATCTTTCTCCCGTGGAAGAGCATTGAAATATACTCCGATATCTTTAATTTCTGTTCATCAAACAGAATCAACAAAATATTCATTACGTATCGTTCGATCTTCGTGCAGAAGAATTACACATCCACATCTAATCAGATCACATTACACGTGGCTCGATGATTGAAAATTGGCCAACGGGTCATTTTCCATTCTATTTCATCCAGCGGATAAATGTCGTTGTCATCGTGAGACGTGTCGTATCGCATCGGATCTGGAAAAAAAAAAGAAAGAAAGAAAGAAAAAAAAAATCTGACATAAATATCCTGGAAAATCAATCGATTGATGCGGAGCAATTAATCAAGTCGGGCCACTGACAAAATGATGGTTCATAGAAGGGTTTTCAGCGTTCTTGTCTCGAGCAAGATCCGCGAGATTGAAATGGCAGAGCGCCAGTTCTAATTTATTGGCCTTGTAGGTACTTTTAATACATGAACTTTTGGCCGATTTTTGGCCCGGAAAAAGGGGACGAAGGGTGTCTTCTCTTCTGTCGAGAACACACACCGGATGCTTCCTCCCCCCCCCCAAAGCCGTTTCCACCTTTCTCCAATTTCCACCCTCCATTCTCCTCACCACCCCTGCATATACCACAGCCAATCGCACGAATCCTCGTTTACGCAAATTAATTCGCACTATTGAAATCAATGACAATGTTTAATTTATGCGAAATATACGTACGATTATATGGAAATTCACACAAGAGGGGACGAAATCAATCCGAAGAATCGTGTTATTTTTCTTTGTTTCTTAAAATGTATCTTCGTAATGCTATGATTTAGATAGAGCAAAATTTTGAATTACACGAGAGAATATGGTTTTGAGAAAATTAATATTCATATAATTCATTATGTTGATTAAAATAGATACTACAGTTAATGTTCATTTTGTTAAAAAGAATATTGTTATAAAAAATATTTATCAATTCCTCTTCACACGATCATGTATCAATTCCTCTTTATACGGAAATTTATCAATTCCTCTATCAATTTTATAAAGAATATTTCCATTTTTTTTTTTTTTTACAAATTTTCATCCGATTGAAATTAAAATAATATATATATATAAAATTTTGAATTATATGAGAGAATATATTTTTGAGAAAATTAATATTCATATAATTCATTATGTAAAATAGATAATACAGTTAATGTTTATCTTGTTATAAAGAAATTTTTCAATTCCTCTTCACACGGAAATTTATCAATTCCTCTTGTCACATATACGTGATGTACTAGTTGCTTTCTGCTCAGTGTGACGTCTATTGACGTGTTTCAATCTTCTTTGAAATATTTCTGTAATGTAAAATGATGAATTATTAACGGTCTTACGTTATTTTCGATTATTTTAAAACTTTCTTCTCGATTTGCAAAAGTTACACGTAATATCTATTATCATTAAATTTGTCCTATGAACAATAGTGACTTTTTTCGCTAAACGATAGTAACCGAAAAAACAACTAGATTTAGTTCCATTATTAATGCATCTTATGATCACCATTAATGGATAAATTTATATAGATATTTCGCAAAATATTATATTATACTATACTATATATTATATATTATATTATATATTATATATTACATATACTATACTATACTATACAATTTCGTATAATAATACTCTATAAAAATTTGCATTTACGATTATTGATCATTATGATTATAAATTTACACGTAAAATATTTCGCAATCGTATATCATACGATTTACACGTATTTCAAATAACTCGTTTACCTGCATAAAAATCCGCAATCCAGCCATCATCAGACTTCGAGGCGCGATCGACGAGAATCACGCCACGGTTTATCGAGCGCGGTGGCGTGGGCGTGCAATTCTGAAAATTACAAATTATACACAACGGCACAGAAAGCACGCGTGTTAATTTACCTCGAATGGCGACAGGTTGCGCTTCGCGTTCTTCGTTTCTCGAATCGTCGACGATGGAGAAAAACCGTTGCGCCTGGCGGCTACTAATTTCCGTTGGAAATTACACGCGCGAAATAGTGAATTCATAACACGCTTTTGATACATGTGCAGGCGATGCGTCTTTGCCGGTGGCGGATAAACGCGGTTAATTTTCATGGGTGGCTCAGATAAGGAGGATGATAATTAACGTCCGATTATTATTATTGTCATTATTATTATATCTGGAGGATTTTCCCATTAAAATGCGTTTAATTATCGTTGCGGTAGAAAATATGTCGCGTATTGTTTAAAGAGTGTTGAATAAATTTTCGAAGATAAATTCTAAACGCGATAAAACCGAGTATACAGGATATTTAGAGAAACTTTAAGTGGAAAAATTTAGGAAATATTTTAAAGGACGTTGAAATATTTCAATAATAGAAAATATGTGATATTATTTAAACTTTGGTAGAAAATTTAGAAAATATTTTCGAATATTCGAAAATATGTCTTCTTATTTAAAATACAAGAATGTATTTTGAAGGATCAATTCTAAATATAAACTTGGTAGAAAATATACATTAAAAAACACAGAAGATTGTATAAATGATCTTTAGAGGATCAGTACTGTTCTCTATGATATCCATCATGTTCAGAGGAACGTGCAAAGGAAATTTCATCAACAAATTTCTAACCTACAACGATGAAGAAAATTTAATAGTTGAAGTTAACGAATAAGTTTACTTCGATAATTTATCGTTCAAAACGTAATAATAATCGCGATTAGTAGCGATTAAACTACTTTATTCGAAATTTTTTTTAACCTTAGTTACTTTTTCAACGAGTTAAAAATTAAAACGGCCAACTCTGCTAACCTAGAACAAGATGAAAAACAAAGAAGGAAAAATATCGCATTAAAAGTTTCCCTTTTTTAATTATTCGAGAGAGGATCTTCTTACGCGAGAAAATATAGATCAAACTCTCGCTTCTCGGAAGTTCACTGATCCTCGTCCAGCCCAATAACCACCTATCTCCCTCTCACCAACTTGTTATCACCTCTGCATCTCTTCCTCTCACGTCCAACCACCTCTTCTTTTAATCGTCCGCGCGTCGAATCCGCTTCGTATTTCGGAAGGAATAACTCTATCCAAAGAACTCGAACGAAAGAAGGGGGAGGGGGGACGATGTTACGATATCGGTTAATGGAGCGATGCCTTCGGGGAAGCTAGATATTATCGTCACTTCGACCCCGTTAGATTTATTTCCACGCGTCGCCCCTTTCAAGCAGAATAAGCACATTTACCCTCCTCCGCGAGCGAGGATTTCAGAATTCACCCTCTCTCTCTCTCTCTCTCTCTCTCTCTCTCTCTCTCTCTCTCTCTCTCTCTCTCTCTCTCTCTCTCTCTCTGTCCGACCCTCGACGACTCTAATCGCGCAAATAACGTTACTCCTGCCCCCCCCCTCCTCCCCCCACCCGAACAAATCGATTCGAGCTACCGATCGCCTGTTCCCGTTTCTTCGTCGCTTTCCCTCGAATCAATCGACAGCTGATACTCTAACCGGCCCTTGAATCGATATCGAGCCTAATAATCCACCACGGATTCCTCTTCCTTCTTCTTTCTATTCCTTTCGCTATCCGAAAGAGAGGAAAGAAACTCTCGTTACATCGATCATCGAGCTTTCACGATGAGAGGGGAAGGAAGGGGAGAGTGGATTGGTAAGGTGTTGGTGAGGCTGGCTCGTTTAAAGGGAGTGGGAAGAAAGATTCGAGGATTATAAGTTGAGGTAATTTTTGATTTTCAACGTGTGTGGAAGGTGATTTTTTTTTTTGTGCGTGTGGAAGAAAAATACGAGAAATGTGGAAAATAAATTTTTGCTCCATCGAGATAGAGTGGATACGAATTCCATTTATATGGAAATTTTATATATTGTGGCTGATTGTTCGAAAGCCGAGCTTCTATTATCTGAACTATCTGTGTAATCTAATTAGAAATTTTACGCGTTACATTGAATTTGAAACGATAGAAGAATTAATTCATCTAGCATTAGATGTTATTTCTAGCAAAGTTATTTCTAAATATTGTAAAATATAAAATATTCGAATTGAATATCTGAACGAAATTAATTGGATGAAATCAGGCTGATTATTTGAATGTGAATCTTATCAGCTTCATAAAAACGAATCTCCATTTATCCTTTTTATAAATGTTACGATATCATGATGTGATGGAAAAATCTTCGATATCGTCTATTTTTATTTTTTGCGCCAAAATTCGCAATATATCGATGAAGATGAAAAAAAAAAAAAAACTCGACAAAAAAAGATACATACGCTCGTTGGTTAAAATTTGTCGGCATGTGCTCGTGTGTGCTCTCCCGGATGGATTCGATGATCGATTCTCAAACTATTCGCTGGCTAGGCATCATAACGCTTGCTGATAGCTACGGAATATTTAAAGTGGCTATCGCGTGCATATGGTGTTATGCGTATATCTATCCAGCTAAAGATCGATCGACAAATTAGAAAATCTAATTTACTGGACACGGGTAAGAGAAAAGCGCGTAATTAATATTTCCGTCGATTTCCTCGATACATTTTCATATTCTCTCTAACGAAATGTACGTTTCGTAAAATTTTTGAGCATATCGTTCGACGATGAATAATTATTTCGTCTCGAAATTGAGCAAAATTTTTCGGAAACGATGCGATCGAATACGCGGTCACAATGAATTACTCAACAATCTCTCTGGTGTGCTAATTATACCCGCATGCGTCACTCCGCGTAATTTCCTGATGTATGTCGACATCCATCGATTCACCTTCACCTGTAAATCTCTGGAAAAGATATGTTTTTTTTTATTATTTCTTTTTCTTTTTTTGCTTTTGATCGCAATCATAGATAAAAAAGAGACTATTTCGAATTGGAGATAATTCATAGAAAAGGGAATGATGGTAATCTAAGGATGTATGCGCGTAATCAAGTTTTTCCATGGAAGATGTAATCAGTGTTCTAATGCGGGCTCGAACGACGAAGAATTTTCATCACGTTTATAATAAATTACGAATCCTCGAACAAATATATTTTCACTTTACTTGATAAATAGAATTATTTAAAACAATCTCTAAAAGTGATTTTCTATATTATCTATATTATTTATAGTTTTTTAAAAATAAAAATGACATCGCATATGACTATATTTGAAACTGAACAATTCTAGTGTCTGGATATACATATGGCTATTATTAATCCGAATGGTGCCGAATCATGACGATTATTACCGAACAGTTACGATATCATTCGGCTTTATTCGGTACCGATCGTGACCACATATTCAAATGTTACAATGCGTCTAAATTTATCTAATTTTTATTTTCCTAAATGTTATCGCCAATTGCTTAAGTAAAAAGTAAAAAAAAAGTGGAAAAAGTGATGCAATTATAGAAATTCTATTTCTTATATATTTTACTTGTATTTGTTATTTCTCATTTTTATCCCCAACAAGAGAAACGAAAAGAAATAACGAGAAAATTCGTGAGGCGTAACTGATCCAACTAAGCGAGAAATATCGCGTATCGTTCTAATATCGGACCAATGGATGCAATAAACGAAAACTCTTGGCGACATGTATTCGTCGGCCATGATACGGCATGTTCCCGCATGACTAAAAACGCAATATCGAGTTAGCGCGTGCCGCCGACTTGCAGCAAATGGAAACGAATGAGGGATCAAAGAAAAAAGAGTTATTGCAACGCGACGCGACACGAGACGAAACACGATCGTTTAAGGATGCGTCGAGCACGCCATTTCGACGAAAAAAATATACATATATACATTTTTTCTTTTTTTCTTTTTATTCTGCATGTTTTTAAAAAACATCGGAGAACGAGAGACAAAAAGTCTAAGATTTTTAAACATCTTTTTTACAGGATGAACATTTGTAAAATTTTTAAAGAAATTTTTGCGAAATCGTATTCAAAGTTTGAGCGGTTAGCAGATTGAACTCAATTAACATTTTTTAAAGAAACTTTTGTCTTCTTTGAAAATCCTCTGACTCGGTGTTTTCCCCATCTTTCTTGGGACTTCCTTTATGGGCATTAATTAACTCGCGTTACGAAAGTGGCGTTGTCACCTTTTGAAACGTTCAAAGGGCAAGCTTCCTCAAACGAATTTTCCGTTGAAAAGGGAACACGATTTTATCGAGTGATAACCGTATTAATCTTAAACGTTTAATTTTTTTTAAATCAATTAAGATGGATTGATTTTCGATAATTGAAAAAATAATTAAAACTAAAAATGCAACGAAATTCAAAATGATCATGCATATTGATAGCAACATTTTTGTATTGAATATATATATACGAATACAAAAGAAAAGGTACATGGACAAAATTTTTTCATTTTTCAATTTTTTGGAAAAATTTATCATTCGCCAAAAAAAATCTGCATCAACACGTATATTCACGATATTCCTTCATTGGAATACATTGGAATAGATTTCCAATTCAATTAATAGTAACAGCAAGGCGATTAAAAATCTACTTACTTGCTCAAATTGAAATGAGATCCAAACCTATCTATCTAATTTTCAATATAATAACACCTAAATTCACATTATTCGCATCGTGATTCAACGTGACAGGAAGAGAGAATTTTTCTTCAACAAATGAAAAAGTTTCCCAATAATCTGATATCTTTTTATCGAACAGATCGATTAATTTTAATTATTTATCCTTCCCTCCTCTTCCAAAAAAAAAAGGGAAAAAAAAGAAAAAGAGGAAACGTTGGTAAAGTTTCATCGAGTAGCCACGCCAAACTCGATCGGCGTAAAATAATTACTTTAAAAGTTGGAAAGGGGACAAGACGAGAGAAAGAGAGATCCCGAGCGTACATGCCCGAGCATTTAATGAGCTTCAAGATTTCTCAAAGAGGCCATGGTTAAAGATCTGCCCTACTAAAATTAATGAGTTTGCATCGGCTAACAAGGTGGTAACACTCGTTTGTAATTGAACGTTGGTATCGAAGATGTGCGTTGTTAAGGATATCAAGACACCGAGGTTGAAGCACGTACGAGCAACCGAACAACTCGATACGAATCAAGAGAGCCTGCTCCTTGTCGAGAGGGCCGATTAATTATCTATTAAGTTAAAAACTTTATGTAGGTTGATGCACGACATTTTTCTTTTTCTTTTTTTCTTGGAATTTGATGGATGATCACGATGCCATTAATTGAATCTTTATTTACTGTCAATCGTCGACCTTCTGATTAATTTTATAAAAAATTAACTCCATCAAAATATTAGCTCGAGTGGTAAAAAACTAATAATCTAAACTAATAGTATTTAGAATTATTTTCATTCGTCTAATTATTACATTTTTCCTCCAATTTTAAGTATCTTATATTAGTATCAATCATAACCTATTCTCATAAAGATATCGCTGTATTTTCTATCTCACTATTCTTATCTCTTCCAAGATGTTTTAATCCAAAAAAGAAACTGCACCAAATTATTACAAAACTTAATAATCCACTCTCGAAATATCCACCACAAAAAAATCACTAATTTACAAATTCACTCATTCCATCTTCTTACCAAACACAGCGAAATCTCGCGTATCGTTCGAAAAACTCGATACACAGCGCCTCTCGCGGCGTTTACACGGCTAGACGAACGAACGAACGAACGAACGAACTAGCGAAGAAGTGTTCCGGAAGTAGGCGCCTCGACACAACACGGATCTTCCATTCGTCGAACAACCATTATCGATAGTTTCGAAACTTCCTCCGCCAACTACTTTGCTCCATTTCCCCACATATATACACTTACACGTACGCGTGGTGACATGAGGGAAAATTATTTCTAATTGGTTCCTAATAATCTTCCCGATACATGCTTCCGGCGTGGACTCGGAGCGGGAGATTCGAAAGGGGGATGCTTCGTCTGCTTCGCATTCTCTTCTTTCTTTTATCCCTCCAAGTTTTCCACCGGGGAGAACTTAATTTAATCCCTTAATCCTCTGATATCCGTCCATCACGTTTAAGCCGTCTTATCCGATCCACGGTTTTTCTTTTTTTTTTTTTTGTTTCGCGCATTCGAAGAATAATTTCAATGGTAAGGCGAGCTTTGAACGAAGTAAACATTAATCTCGTTCCTCCGGATAGGAAATTGGATACAATTATCACAATAATTGCGAGAACGCGGATGCAAGTTTGTAATAAAGGGATCGTGAAAATGAGTCTGGAGGACGACTCGATTATTTTGTAAAATATATAAGGATTTTTTTCAGAATCGTAATATATATTTGAAGAATAAGAATATTTCAAAAAAAGCGACAAAATTCAATACGTTGAAACAATATATTTGGTAAAATGAAAATAAAAATCATGATAAATTTGAAGAAAAAGATTCTTCTGATGTAAACTTTTCATTTAAATACTCCATTTTTTTTTTTTTTTTTTGAGAAAATTGTATCTGGAAATTCGTTCACTATCGAATAAATATAATCTACTATGTTATTATAACAAATATAACAATTTTAAAAAAATAAAATGTTATAAAATTAAAAATCTATCCAACAGAATTTTAAACATAATTTCCGATGCTTCGTAATAAAATAATTTTTATCCCGTACTTTCCAATTTTCACTTTTCAATACCATCAATGTACCACGATTTCGATACATCCTTCTACCTACAATCTCTCACTCATTAACTATCGCATCGTTACTCGAAAAAGCTTAACATTTGAAAAGAGCTAATGGAACACAAATCGAAAACTACTTTCCAGATACTTGAGATACCCTCTTCTTCCCCGCGCCATCTCTCGCGAAATTTAATTTCACCTCAAACCGCGCATCTATACGTGACGAAATTCCCCTCGATTCCCCGTTCGTTCGTTGAAAATTCGATAAAAACCGAAACGAAACGCGATTTCTATACTGAAGAGGACAAAGAAAGAAGAAGAAAAAGAGAAAAGAGGGGGGGGGGGGAGGAGGGGATCGAGCGCGGTTGCTTTGGCTTTTTTAATTTTAAACTTACGATTCCCCGCAAAAGTTTCCACCGGCTCGAAACCAGTGGAAATTGCAGCTTTGTTCCCAGCTGCGTTAACGCGAGGTATTTTACGAGCCCGATGCCGGAATTTAATTTAAGGCAGGAACCGCGTCGCTCCGTCAAAGAGGGGAAAAATTTTGGGAAAAAATGAACGCCCGCGCGCATTTCGCACGATGAACGAACTCGAATTAAGATAAGATAAGATAAAGCGCGTGAAGATCGACGATCTGAAAAAGGAAAAGAAAAAAAAAAAAAAATTGATGAAGTTGGATAATTTTCGGGGCGAGGAGGATACTCGTTTTTGAGAATGAAACTCTGGAGAACGGGAATTGAAATTTTGGATTTTCGTATTAGGGTGAGAATGGAACTCTGGAGAGTAATTCGTGAAAGCTTTACTTTCGAATGGAGGAATCGGGACACTTGAGGGTAAAATTCTCGAGAATGGTTCGGTGTCAACGCACGCCGTGGACACGTTCCTTCTTCCCGACCGTGTCTACAATCCATTTTCAGGGTTGTACAACTTTCACGAATCACTTTCGCGAGACTTCTTTTTTTTTTTTTTTTTGTTTAGATGAAATTTTTATTCTCAAAATAGATTTTTCACTGTGGAGAGTTGCAATTATTTTTCGCAGACAGACGCAGGCACGGTTCGAGATAATGGTTTGTGAAATAATTTGATTGGTAAAAAATAATATTCGTCTAATCGCTTTCAAAAAAAATCTTTACTTCAATCTTTGCTTCTTCACCGATTATCATCGACGTAAGTTGCATTATTTATTCTTTCTTCTTTAAGCTTGGAACGTTCTGTCCAACATTTCGAGATGTTACAATAAGAGAGGTAAAAGTTTTTATCATTTTCTTCTCGACTGTTCTTGTTAAGAAAAATAAATTAAATCTCTGCAAGGTACACAGGGCCTTTTAACTTTATTTAAAAGTTAAAGGGCGCATAGAACTTAAATTGGATAACAGGATTGGATAATACATATGACTGTACGAACGAGAATAAGCGAAGGACGTAAAATAAATTCTTTACAGCTATAAAAAAAAAAGGAAGAAAAAAAAGAAAGGAATAATGGAATATAAAAGGAAATCGAATAACGTTTTCGAAATACATACTCGAAACACTTTTGACGAAATGCCAACCGAGTTAAGCGATGGGATGGAAGCCAATAAATACCCCGCTTGTCCCATCCACGCCCTGGAAAGAATTTCGAGAAAAATCGCCACGTGCACGCCGCTCTTCCTTTGCGAATTTGTTCCATCGCTCGTTTTAAACCGGTATTTTCCAATGTAGGACGTATGCTCCACACGAGAAGGCAATTTGAATATTTCGTAGACCGATTTTTACCTTCTTTGGTTAAAACGTTTTAACATTTTCTTCTTATTTTTCGATATCACGTGCTTTTTCGTCTGAACGTGAGTTGAAATGTTTTTTTGTTCTCTTTTTATTGTTATTTTGAATAGAGAAAGAAGAAACATTTGAATTTTTTCTCTCTCTCAAGTAAGATTTAAGAATTGTAATATATTCAATATTATAAATATTTATCACTTCTTTTTATTTTTTATATAATTATCCAAAATCTCCGAATTCTGATAAATAAATATGATGGTAATAGTATCGCAATATTATAACAGCAGTACTATAAATAAATAATACCAGAAGTTATCATCGAATGGTAAAAAATTAAACTTTCAGAGATTCGAATTCGAAGAAAAACTCTAATACTTCTTTATCAACGAGACTAATAATATCGATCATTACCACGAACGATCTTTTCCTATAAATGCAAACAAACTTCAGTTCTCGTAAAAGAGCGCAACTTTCCGAGAATATTAACGACCTTTATCGATAAATGGCATTACGGACCATCGGTTCATTTAACGTTACACAAACGAACGGTTCAATAATGGAAATATCGATTATGTCCTTTTACGAAAGTTCGGATCGAGTTTAGCTAAGATTAGCCAGTTTTCTTCCTTTGACTCATTAAAAGACATATTTTTTTCCTCTCATAATACGGAGAAAGAAATGAAAAAGGAGTAGAGAAAATTCGAAGCTTTCTTAGGTAAATTGCTCTATGTGAAGCGAATAATCGATTGATCGATCGTTCATTTTGTGACGTTTGAGGTTATGTTTCATAAATAGATATCAATATACGAATTCACAATTTGAAATTTCTTATTAACATCACGAATAACATAGAACGAATGATAAAACATTGTTTTATTCATTAACAAATTTTAAGCAATGTCACATTACTATTAATTTAATTTACTTCTTGATAATACATCAAAATGTACATTTCAATCCAATCGATATCATTTTATTTAAATTTTAATATATTGTTAAAAACCCCACTATAAATCTTGTCTCCCCTTCAAACATTTCAATCCAAAAAAACTTATTGAACAAAAAAAATCTTATCTAATCTAATCTGATATCCATCTTGGAAGAATTGGATTTCGATCGAGAGAAAATGAATGAATCGAGCGACACTTACTACTACGGAGGAACGTTAAAGAAAGGAAAGAAACGGGAGCAAGGAAAGCAACGAGATAAAAGCGTGGTATTTGTTTTAGAATTCCTACGCTTTACCGATGTTCGAAGTGGCAAAGCGTTTGAAATCTGAAACGAATGCGCATAAACCTTCATCCCGTGGATGCTGGCCAAGGGAGGAAGAGATGGACCGATACATAGGGAGCATCACCAAGAGGGAAGCGAAGCCACTCGAGCGTGATTAATCATTGTCTATATCCCCCTAAGGATCATCGAAGGGTGCCACCAATCCGTTGTTACATCCACGCACCCCTGTTCTTCCACGTGACACCGTTTCAGGATTCGACTATCGCAACCTGTTGTGTACGATATACACAGTAGATGATAGACACAGAGTCGTTTTTATCGTTTCTTGAAACTAATTAGGATTTATAAGTATCCATGTTTTATTTGTTGTTCGTTATTTAATATATTTGTTAAATTAAAGATAGTTCTGAATTATTGCCAATTATATATTATATAGTGATTAACGTAATTAAATTTTAATTACATATTCCTCTACATAACCGTTTCGAATATAACTTATCACATATATAAATACATACATATATAAATACAGACATAAATAATGTAAATTATTTTTATATTTTTCTTGAAAGTATGTTAGACGAAATTAAATGTTCTGTTGTTCATTATTTAACGTAGTTGTTAGATAAATGAGTTTTGAATCATTATTAAATGATATATCAACCAAGTATTAACTGTGACCAATGTAGTTTAACTTTGGTTATTATATTGGAATCAGTGGATTTCTACGTGGCAAAATTATTATTTGATATTTGTTTGTTATTTGGTATTTAATCTACTGTTGTAATTATTAGTTGAGACTCTAAAGTGGTTTAAAGTGGATTTCGAGCTACTGTACACAATCAAGTATTAACTTGATTATCAAATTGCAATCATTGGATCCCTCTGCTGGCAAAATTATTATTTGCTATTTGTTTATTATTCGTTATGTAATCAATATCGATTGTCATAATCAATGCGGTCATTAGCCGAAGTTTATAGTTTAAGAAACATTTTGATATCAATACACGGACTTTCCAAATGGCATCCATCCAAATACTAACCACGATCAACGTAACTATAATAATTAAACAAGGAAATTGAATCCTACATCGCAAAGATCGTTGACACGTCATTCCTTCTATTTCAAAATTATCACTTTTGCTAATATAAATACCAAATAAACTTTACCATAATACAATTTAATTTAAACTTTAAGACTTGCAAAACTTGTCTAATCTTATAATACAAATATATTTGAGAAAAATTAAAATTAAAATTAAAATTAAAGTTGTTGCTCTTGAAAGAGTTTCTTCAAAGAGTAAACATAGATGTTGAATGGAACAATCCAAAGTTAACCAGCAATTCTTATCATGTAAATACATTTGAAAGCAAAACTTTAGAAACTTGTCTTCAAGAATTATTTTTCACTAAAATAGACGCTACATTAAGAGTGAAAATTACTATGTTATCGAACATATTTGCACTCTAAATAAATAGATTCCAACAACGCGCGTCACCACTATAGTTTCCCCTCCCTCGAAAAATATCTCCCAAGGTGATTCCCTACTATATTCCTACGTGTACCTCGAAGCTCCCTAGTACAAGGCGTTCTGAATTCGACCGAATTCAATTCCATCTCGTCGACGCTGCGACATTTTTCTCCGCAACTTTTCGCCCCTCCCCCCTTCCCTGTCGATTTAAAACGGATTACCACCGCGAACAAAGTTCGCCAACCCTTCGAAAAATTTTCTCCTTTCGACGTGCGAAAACGTAATTGACGTTGGAAACGTTGGCCTGTCGTCACTGGATGGATTTTTTAACGACGTTGTTGCTCCTCGTCTTCACGGCCATCGAGGCCATTAATTCCGTTAGCGATTTTTACGAGCTCTTTCGTGGCCGTCATATCGTCGACTTCACCTCGCGAGGCTTTTAGACCGTTATCTATGTCAGCTCGGGCGTAAAGAAAGTATGGCACCTTGGAGAGTCTGAAAATAGAGCGAGAAATTGATTTTTTATATAGGTAATTAGCGAGTGAATTTTTTATTAATTATCTATTATAAGAAATTCCAGTTTTATCTTATTTTTAAATAATTTAATCCTTTCGGATAAGAAAAAAATCGATGAACGTTTAATAATTATAGAAAAGAATTTTAATCTTAATCCTTTCGCAAAATTCATCGAATATTTAAAAAATTACGCATGAAAGAAATTTTCATTTTCTTTATTCGTTTTTAGATCTTAACTTTTTCGAAAATAGAAAAATCCTTACAATATTCCGATTATATCATTCTTATATTTTCACGAAACTCAACGTTAACTCTTTCTCAAAGATTTTATTTTAAAGTATATCTACTACAGAAATAGTAAATGCTCTTATTATTTTTATAACTTTTCAATATATAAATAAATTGTACAACGGAAAGAATTGCAATTTTATTACAACATGTTATTGAAATTTTATAAAATCTTCGAGTAGAATATTACAATTAAATACATACCAATAAATATCATCACATTTACTCTCTCTCACATTTTCGATTGATCATCGAAACGACAATCACGAATGGAGATTAGCAAAGATTTAAAATTCATCTCGACAGGATTAACTCGATCCATTCGAGTCGAAGATAGCATGCAAGCATCCCATCCGTTCTGAAATATACAAGGCAATTACCGCAAGCGAGAGGCAACCGGCGATGTAAATTTTTTACCAATTTTTTTTCTCCTCTCTTCGTGGTAGGTGGCTGCTGCGGTGGCCTAGAGCTTTGTTAGAATGTTCCAAGGGGTAAATCCCAGGTCGTTTGCCGTTCCATTACCGTTTCGCAGACATTGCAGCCCTACTTGCACCACGGGCCGGGGCTGAATGTATATCGTTGACATGGCTGGCTGACTGCATAGTAGATCATCCGCGCCACAACCCGCCATACCCCTATTCAGAAACTTGCTTACAGAGCGCTGACAGTCGTAAGTAATCTTGTTAACTAATCTTCTCCAGATCCCCTTGGATATTTTTACAAGGCGTGCGCATACGATTTTCCGCTTCGAGATGTGTTGCTCCTTGTTTTTTTCTCCAATTTCGAGATCGCTCCACTCTTTTCCACTCGCTTCTATCCCCCTTCGAGGTTGGAAATTATTTAGGGTAGTTACCTAGTAAGAACACATTTTCGAATTATTCGTGGAGAAACGTTTTATACAAATTGATGTTATTCATCTATTTTTTTTCTTTTTTTTTTGGATTTATACTTGGTTAGGTGGAATTAGGTCATAAGGATTATTTATTTGTAAGCTTTTAAAATGATATTGAAATTTGTTATGAAAAATTAAATGGACGATGATGAAAACTTTGGAAACAAGAAAGAAGTTTGTTTTTCCATTGTGAAAATGGCCGTAAATTAAAAATAATTCATGGGAAAAATTAAGCAATGTAATATTAAATCTGTATCGAGAAATTATTCCTTTACCATAAAATTTTTTCAAATGGTTAAAATCTTACAGAAATTTTGTACAAAAAGATATTTTTAGAATAAAATAATTTATAAGGGATGATTTAATGTATAAAAATTGCGTAGAAGTTTTTTTGTGGTTATATGAAGGGCAAGCTCGTCTTTTGAAATGAAATCATTTCTTCTAACTATTAATCACAATGCAGATTATTATTAAAAAATATTCCTTGCAAAAATTATCTAATTTAATTTATATTACGATTATTCCAATTTTCCTGTAATCATCTAACTCAAATTTTTCAATTCTTTAATTTATAATACTTTTTTTCCTATATTTTTTGTTAAAATTTTATAAATAAACTAAATAAGTTTCAGATTCACGTATTTTCTAAAATTCTGATTTCTATGTTACGTACATTATCGTACAATCAACGTTTTTTGAAAATAAAACTCTCCTTCGTTTAAAGCGATATTTCACACGCAAACTCGATCGAACGTTACTCCAAAAATCGTTAATTGTTAATTAAAAGCGGATGAGACAACCCGAAAACAACATTGTCAGAGATGCATATATTCTCTTCCGATAATATTCCGACACGTTTAAACGCTTTACGGTTTGTTTAGTCGAGGCTAGAGCTTACAGTTCAGATATTCCATAAATGTAGAAAATAAATAGTCGGCGAGCAAACACGGGGGAGGATAAATTTAGTCGAAGAGGGTTGGAGTCGCTGAGCGTTGGTTCAAAGTAGAACCACCCTCCTCCTTTTTCTGATTGTATATTTATTTGATTCCGCCGTTTCTCGCCTCTTGCATCGAACACCACCCTCCCCGCCTCGGGGTATTTTCGAATCAAGACGGTACGCGTTGACGAGAAGTTTACCCTATTTTCGCATTTAACGGCCCCCGCGTTTTAAAGCGAGAGACTGGGAAGGATGCGGCTGTGCCATCCAAAGATATTTCCACGAGCCATCCAAGAGGAATATTGCATCGATACGACGTCGTAAAATTCGATGACTCTCTCTCTCTCTTTTTCTTCGTTCTTCACCCCCTTCGATTTTCATACCGTTTCCAAGGGAAGAGGGAGAGGGCTACTATGTATAAAAAAACAGGAGAATCCTCATGAGATCAGCTCGATCCCAATGTTGCAACGAGGGATAAAATATGGAATCTTGGGCGGGTCGTGAAAAAGTCAGGATCGTTCTAGTCGCAGTTACTTAAGCCACTACCTTAACTGCCCTTGCCTCGAGTCCTCTTTAGTTTATTGGCCGCAAAAGCTGTCGATTCTTCCGTGACTCGAAAGTCGCTAGTACGGTTATTGATTCTTTTTCTTCTTTTTTCTTTTTTCCTTTTCTTTTTTTCTTTTTTTTTTTTTTGAGTGCACGATGAAATATTGATGAGAGAAATAGATAGTATAAACTTTTCTCTTATCCTAAATGCAATACATAAATTTTCGAATCGAATCGACAAATGGCTTTTTTGAATTTTCTTTTCCTCTTTTGTTCTTTTCTCCCAAATGAAAAATAGAAATATCATTTCACTTACACGCAATCGTGAAAGTGGAATATATCGTATAGGCGAAAATCCTTCACGAGTGGAACAGCATCATCCATCTGAAAAGAAATGGAAAACATTGTTAGATAAATCAATTTCATTCTTTGGATAAATCTCATTAATTATTTTGATAATAATTTTTTCTTTAAATACATATTTAATGTCTAACATTTTCAAACAAGTAAATCACAAACCAGACATGAAAAATTTAATCATTATTTTTAACAATCTATATATTCTTTTTTTAATAAATATATAAATAACAAGTTCTATATTATGAACGTAACAATTATGATAAAAAAAATTAACAATGAATAACAATCGCAGACTAGAACTGTGCAATTTTTGTTCACCAGAAAATGGAAAGGAAATAGAAGATGGGAACAGGAAATACAGGAAAGATAAAAGGTTGTATAGTAAAGCATAGTGCGTTCGACGTTTCCCCTATCGAGAAACGTTACAATCCTTCCGGAACGTATGCACACGAACAAATTAAAACGCGTCGTGAAACATGGAATCGTGTCGAGTAAGCGCAGCTGCAGCTAAGCACGTAAATAGAGTACACTCGCGATACTATGCGTTGAATTCATAGCCTCAGGCGCGGAAAATTCCGTGTGACGAAAATCTCTTTTTCCGTGCAACGAAAGCACGTTGTAGGCTCTTCCGATTCTTCCGAAAAACGATCCACTATGGGTTGTTGGCACGCGTAACGCGATCGTCAACGTGTCAACAGGATGTTCGATGTAAGGAAGTAGTCAAGTTTCGGTATGTGTCGTCTTTGATAACAGAGAAGTACCTCTTCGGATACATTTAATGTGTCATAAGTAGACTGGGAATATTTGTGCAGTTGAAACGTGTTCAAATATTCAACTAATATGTGAAGATATTTCGTATTACGTAAAAATTATATTATTATGCTAAATTATATAAAATGTATGCACACAATATGTATGTATTTGGAATTATTTGTAACTTTTTATTGTGAAAAATCTTAATTTGAGGCATAAACTATGCAATTAACTTTAATATAAAAATATTATGCATGTAAAGTATAAAAATATAACCTCCAAATATTCGGAATTGTAAAGTTTAATTTATTACTATCATCGCTCTTAAGAAGAGAAAATATAAACACTTACCTTCTTTTGAATATGATTTTACAATTATGATGCAATATATTCATCATAGAACGATCAAAAGAAACGAATATTCATTGAAAGAAACGTATAACCACCTTTGATTAAAATTGAAATTACTCTAAATAACGGTTTCAGTAATACGAAACAGCGTCTTTAGCCGATCATATTCGATCATTGCCGAGTTAATCCGAAGTCGAATCGTTACATTCCGATTTCGCACGACTTTTCCCGAACTCGTAATCCCAAAATCTCATGTAATTTTATTAATTTTTAACAAAATCCTGTTTAGTCTTTCTTTACCAAACTTGCATTTAATTTCGCTATGTTTTTCATTTTCAAAACAAACATGACAGAGAAAACGTTAGCAGTGTTAGTACCAGAAAGACCTGTGGTAAGCTGCCGCTTATCTCGAATATAAAAATAAACAGAGGCCCGAGCGATAATTTCTTTCACGGTGACTGGACTCGTCTTTCGCAGAATGCCCGGCGAGAGACGAAGGCCAAGTTTCACGAACGCGTGCAGGACAGCGTCAGCGTTATCTAGGATGCCGAGAGTAGAGTACTCTTTCATTTGGTTGGACGGCTGCAGCCCGATATGTTCACGCAGCTGCTCTCATCAACCGTATCAGTCCGAGGGAAAGAGAAGGGGATAGTGCGGGTACAGAAGGGAATAGCCGCGAACAAAACGCGCACAGTTCTTTGCAAAAATCAGAGCCAATAGCGTTCCGTAATTTTGTCGAGGAAAAAGGCCACGCAATGGTAGTGTGTTGGGAACAAAGGATACATCGATCTACCGTAACAGTCAATTAGGAATACGCTGGTATAGATATATAGTTAAGAATGTGACATATCTATCCTTTTTTTCGCTATTAGGCTTTTCTTTCACTCTTTTATTTTTATGCTTATTTTTTTTCTTTCTTTCTTCTTTTCTCCTTTTTTCTTCCTTCTTTCCTTCTTTCCTTCGTTCATTTCTTTCTTCCTTCCTTCCTGTTTTCCATTAAAGAAAGATGAAATATCGACTACAGCCGGATCCAATAATTACAAACTGCGCTCTGTATACACGCGCGCGCACACAATTCCGCGAGGCTTGATTAAAAAGAACTTGGCACTGGTGTATAACCTTAGTACTTGCTCCAAGAAATCTTCCCCCGTTCTATAGAAAAAATTAATACCGTGTCCGAGTCGCATCGAATCCACGATTGATACTTCACCGTTGAAAATAACTCGAATTTTCGAGGACAAGGGTTCGGTGTTCGAGAAAAAAGATCGATAAAATCGCACGCAACGAGAGATCGCTAATCGAACGCAACTTATACGATTCGTCGATTACTCGAAGAGTTTCTTGTTTTCGATTATCGTCGTTTCGACTCATGACTCTGCGTGCAATTAATTGATTTTACAAGCTATAAAAGTTAACTTAGCGAAAGCTCGCCTCTGAATCCGTTTTTGCGACGAAATATTTTTTACGCTCCGATAACTCGCCATTCCCATCTCCTAGTGAACTTTGTGCGTTCGGTCACCGTTCAACGTTGATTACCTTTCGTTCTCGCAACATAACTACCTTCCGTGTACACGCGGTGTAGCGCATAAAACCGGGATATTAATCTAAGGATTTATAAGATTGCGATTACAGTTACATTTTTCGACGAAATAATATTCTGACAAGTCCATTTATCGAATTCATTTATGAATTATTTGAAAAATGAAATGCACGATATTAGCTATTATATTCGATCGTTTTGACGAAATATATTGAAACATTTTAATAATTTTCATACGTCCTTTAAATTTTAACTCTTTTTTTTTCATTCTAAAGACAATTATTATTCACTAATCAATTTCGTATAGATGTATAAGTAATATTAACAACATTAAAAAAAATATATTTTTTTTTTATTTAATGCGTTTATCAAGATTTATATTTTCCAGAAATTGCAAGACTATTTTTGCAATTATGCAATATTTTTGCTAATTTTAACAGTAATATCTATAATTTCAAAATATTCATGTTCCATTTTATAAAATTACAATCCAATATTCATAAAAAATTTTCATAAAACTTATATTAAGAATTAAATAGAATTTATTCGTATATTATTTCCAAAGTGCAAAGGATTAAATAAAATTAAAAATTCTATGTGTCTTCAGAAATCCTTTTAAAATATTATAATATAATTACTATGGATGAGAAGGATTATCCATATAATTTCTGAAATATACAATTTTTATTCTTCTCGCATTGGACATTTATTAATATAAATTCATCCGAAACCATTTCTATTAATTGCAGAAATAATTCGATCTTCAAAAAAAAAAAAAAAAATAGTTCATTTCTTTTCCCCAGAATTACCTTGTGCATAAATCTTCTTGCGCAGTAATTTACACGACCTCCGCGGCGAGCCGAACGAAATTGTACAGATGTAAACTTGAACCGCGATATCGTCTCGTCTGGGAGCGATTAAGGTTAAAAAGCGAGGGAGCAAATCGTGGGCGGTGGCTACGGTCGAATCTTTCTTCAGGGGGTTGTCCTCGTTCCCCCTATCCGCCTACCACCCGTCTTTTCCCACCACCAATCCCTCTGTTTCCATTAGAAAACGTTCCTATGCCCGGTGTGCAGGATAAATAGTTTGCAAGAGAGAAAGAGTTTTCCGCGGCGGCAATTTATCTCGAACGTTACGCAGCTCCATTAAGAGAAGATAGAAAACGGCGAGCGACGGGAGAAGGAAACCTCTTTCAATTCGCAACGGTTTAGGATTACGTGCATACCTATCTACATACAGTATATCTACACAGAATATACACGCACAACTATTTATATATGTATATATTCGTAGTATCTCATTCGGCGATTTACGAAACGTGTTCCGAAGAAATGATTTTTTCCCACGAGAAAAGAATCTTTTCCATCCTCGAGTCGGGCTTTTCATCCTGGAAATCCCGTCGCGCGGACCGAAAAAAGAGGAAAGAAAGGGTTTCAAAGCGATCCCCGATAATTCTTCGAGACTCGAGGAAACGCTCGGTCGATAATTCCGCGCGAGACCGATAACGAGCACGCTACATTCTATCCGGAATGGAATTTAATAAAGAGATCTAGGTGGCTGATTACGTTTGAAAACTGAAGGGAAACAGGCTGTCACCGGTTCCTGCATTTTTCCGCCATTTTTCGACGGTTAATTGTTGCCCGCAACTTATTTCTCTGGCAGTAGCTCTAACAACGGAGGGAGGTCAGATCGAGAGAGAAACAGAGAGACTGAAAGAGAAAGAGAGGTCTGCACGTACCTCGCCGCCGACGACAGCAATTAAAGTTACTCTAATTGCAATGACCGTAAACAGCCAACGCATTTCCCTGTGCGCCGCGTGACGGTCGCTGAAATTTCGTTGAAATCTTTCCTTCACGCGAACGAGCTCCAACTACCCTGGAAAACCGGTGTTCCGTTGATTCGCCTAAGCTACTTACGAGTTAAACCAGTATTTCTCAACGTGGGCTCTGACAAGAGAAATTCGAATAATTTTGGCAAGCAATTAGAAAATAATGCTACGTTTGTCATTAATATAATAATAATAATAATAATAATAATAATAATAATAATAATAATAAATGGTTGACTATTGTAATAAATGTCGGTGAAATGTTGAAGTAGGACATGACGCAAAAAAGTTGGGGAATATTGGATGAGATGCGGATAACATGCGGCACTTTATAATCTCGCAGTATTTTTATTTTTTGATAATTGTTTAGATTTCACGTTTGAAACAAATAAAAATGGATGAAATATTCGAGATATCCACTATACTAAAATTTTAAAAAGAACAGAAAGATGTGTTGCATTATTAGAAACTAGAAAACTACTAGATTCCGAGATTAAACTTCGGAATAGATCGGGAAAATTCGGGTAGGATCGGGCAGGATATTGACACTTC